CCATCTGGCTGATGGAACATAGTTTGTTTGAGGAACGCGTTTGCGAGGTAGCGTTGCATTCGAGTTCCTGAATCCGGATGTTGAAGAGACTGGATGATGACCGCTCGGAACAGCGCCACTTAAGGAGGAGTAGGACGAGATCTGACGCGGTTGGAGAGTTGCGTGAAGGGGGTTTTGGTAGTGCATGCTTGGGTTTGGTTGTTTTCCGGAGAGTGAAGAACTCGATTGAGAGTGGATAGAGAAGCTTGTGAGAAGTGTGGGGAGGATTATACCCCACATTCTAAGTTTTATACCACCAGACGAGCTCAGGCCAGGCCAAAGCTGATGTGGCGATGGAGGCCGTAGTTCGAGGTTATTGTAGCGGACCAAGTTCTCTTGCCAAAACTTTAACTTCTGAAAATGGCCAAGGAATCGCATTGTTTAACTCTACAATACGTTTCCTGTTTTCCTTCTTCCCTGATTGATACATGAAGGTAAGTCGAGAGAATGTGGCGCAGGCCATCGTACCTACGACTTAACACCAACTTACCATTCATACTCATTCTCAACGACTCAACGGAAGCAAAATACTAGCATAGGATTGATGCTCCATCTACTACTCACAACATTTATGAGCTTCGACGCGTTCCCTGCTCGTGTGGGAAGGCGTTGGGTCGATCAAGGTGGATCCAGCTCGAATCACATATCCCACGTGACCGCGTTTTACCAATTTAGGCACTGCCAAAGCTGTCGAGGGATTTCGGAGTGGCAATACCTCGGTCAGGACCATTGTCTGTGAGTACTTATGTCATCGTCAAGGGCCTAGCTGAGAGCTCTCCCGAATCAGTCCACATGTACTCAATAGCAAAGTAGAAATTAAACCGACAAATCAGGAGAGTAACGTATCGTATTCGTAAGTACGATTCATCATCATCAACACCGAAGCATTGATAACCACCATCCAAGAGCCACAAGAAGTACCAACTACGCTCTCAGTTCCGTAGTACTAGAGACGGGAACGAACTGTTGTCCGGGTGCAGATGTTTGTTCAGCAGTCTGAGCCGGCGCGGACTTCTCTTCCTGGTACCCCGTCTGCATCTGCATAGGCTGAGGCATGTCCCCGTCAAACTGAGCAGCGTTTACTTGCGCCATCTGGGCTCCCCGCTTAATTGTCCTGAGGTAGATGTAGAGCGATACCGATCCCACTGAAGGAGGAGAAAGAAGCCTTGGTTAGTACAGAACAGTGACGACGAAGAGACGCCCGGGGGCGCCGTATATTCAACTCACGAAGGATCGACAAGCTCAGACATAGACACCCTAGAGACAGGTTGAAAGGACAGGCTTCGAAGAGATCAAGCCCATTGGAGCAAGTGCCACTTGCACCGACGAAGGCGAAAACCATGATCGAGACGACTAGAGCAGGTCGTGTGAGTAAAAGTAGACGAAACGCTACCAAACATGACGCGTACCGAACCACACAATACTAAGAACCATCGTCGATATACAATGTGCATATGCATGCGTAATCGTTTGCGTAGAGTAGAAGCGGCGGTTATGCGGGAGCCTATTGAGAACCAGTTTCATGAGTGTGAACGACGAATACGGGGTAAACGGTCACGTACAATACACTGGCCCATATCCAAGTGAAAAGAGAACACACAGATGCTATTCCTGCGAAAGCCACTGCACGATAATGACGAATACATGTCAGCTATCATATAAACGTTTCAGAGCCGGGGAGACGACACTCACTTCCGGCTTCTTTGACGGTCGTGGCACTCCCAAACCCTGCAAATATGAGCGCAAAAGGACCTATGACGTTCACCGTTATGCCAAACACGAGAATCAAGGCTACATGATAAGTATTAGGGAGAGGAGGAAATAATGGTTTAGCCCGTTGTAGGCTGCACAAGTAGAGTGAACAGACTTACAATAAATCGCAGTGCGAGCTGCAGCTGGGCGAGGCATTGGATCCGCGGGCTCTGGCCTGATAGAGATAGCGTTGTAGTGCAGAAGGGGGAGATTGGTTGTGTAAGGTAGGCCAGGTGTTCCTGGAATGAAGCCAGGAGCACTCAGAGCATGGGGAGTGGCAGGAGCTCCGGGAGCGTAGGGAACAACAGGAGTTCCGGGAGTGAAGGAAGCAGTAGGAGCTCCTGGCGTGATTATTGCAACAGGCGTTTGAACAAACAGAGAATTGGAGACACCATGCACGCAGGAAGCCGCCGGTACGCTAGCGATGTAGGGAGTAGCTATTTGTGCCTGCGTCACTCCTACGTTGTCGGGTGCAGTGAGCTTCCCGTTAAGCCCGCCGGTACGGCGGGTAGATAGCCCAATGACAAGGGCTACCGCTCCAGCTGTGCGGTTGGGATGTAATTCAGAACCGAGATGGAATTTGATTGGTAAGAGGCGCACACAAAATCGAGATCGTCAACGACAGGGCACCCGCTGCAGCAGTCATCCCGCACCAAGCTCCTATAAGATCCATCACGAAACCCAAGTTCGATGTATAGGGAATTGCACAAGAATAACCCGTTTCGGTGAGCAGCATGATACCAACCGCTGTGGGGAGTTTTCAATGACATGCACTTGGAAGATGAGGTCGAGCTTACCGAGCCAGAGCACAGAGAAGATGATATGGGAAATAAAATGGGGTAGCGCAAAGGAAAGGCTGCTCTTTGAACGGGGCTGATTACTATACGAAAGTCTGGATAGCGGGAAATCAGGTCATCGCAAGACGATAATGGCGAAACATATTGACAATACGCTTGTCCATATCCAAGTTACCAGGCCCAGGATAGCTGTGACGATGGCACACCGGTCTATAGAGAGATATCAGTTTCAATCATGCTAGTACTGAGATTGTGAGGTATCCGTACCAGTTAAATGTCTCGTTGTCAACACCAAAGCCCTCCGAGTGCGCCCAGTGCTTGAGCTAGTATATCTATACCAAGATATTGCGTCGTCCACATCGAATTTGACTTGAACAGCGAGAGCAATTGCCACG